GGTTCAATCCTTCTGATCTCAGCAGCTCATTAATCAGTCTGAGGGCAATTCTGTTATTAATCAGGTTAAGGACCCTGAAAGCATCTGTCAGCTGCAATGCAAACATAAACTTTATCTGCACAAAGCACAACATTGAGGAAAAAGTTAGGCTGTTATATAGATGTGGAGTTAGGGTCTGCAAAAAGTTCCCCCGCAGGCAGACACCGATTACTCCCTAGAGTGAATTTAACTTTGCATAAAGGTTGCAGTCAGGTGAAGGATCATCTGCTTTAAAATAAGTAGAAGGAGCTTAAATTTTTGTCTCGAACTCTGTCTAGAATAGAGATATGAGCCCAGCAGACATCAAAGGCTGGGCTAGAACATCTGGACTCTTAACCTTGTGTTCACGTGAAACACAGACTGTCAGGCTGACACATAATTACCTTTGTGTGCACATCAAACGTGCACAACCACGAGATTAACATGAAAATTAGCTTTGAACACCTTTTTTCACAAAACAAAAAACCAAACAAAAACTAAGTTTAAAGCCTTTACTCTCAAAGGTTGAATATTTTTTCCACAATTCACAACTGCAATTGTCAAAAAGTTGGGACACTGTAAAATGTAATTTTTTTTATTTTAAAAAGGGTAAATTTCTCAGTTTAAACATTTGTTATTGATGTTCCCAGTGTTCTATTGCAAATAAAATGTTGTTTTATGACATTTGCAAGGTATTTTGTTCTGTTTTTATTTCCAAAACTCTGTGCCAACAGTTTTGGAATCAAGGCTTGCATATTCAGGACCCACGGCTGCAAAAGAGCAAACGTTTTATATCTTTTTTAAAATGATTATTTTGCCTTGATAAGGTACTTAAGTAATGATTTTAACCCAGTAACCTGCAACCAGCAACTGGTCAAATAAATTAAGGAGAACAAAGTAAAACTTTTTTTCTTTCTTCAGTTGTTTACTTACATAACGAGTTATATTTTCATATTACAAGTATTCAGAAATGTTGTGTTTAAAACTTCAAGTGTAAGAGGGGAAAAAACTGAGTACTGATTAGAGAGTGATTAGCACTCCACGTGTAAGACACAGCAATCATCATCTATGAGATCTTATTAGATTGCGGGACCTCTGCAGATTTTCTGGGATCAGCATTAGAAGAGAGGATATCTACCTCTTCAAAATTTTGACTATTGCATGAAAAACAGCTCTTACAGGGAAAAGGATAAAATGTGATCCGCCGAGGATGGAGACTGGATATGGTAAAAGACAAACAATAATTCCTGACTTAAGAACTGAAGCACAACTACAGACAGCTATGAGCCAGGTGGTCAAAAGTCACAACACGGGTCAAAGATGTAATTTCTAAAACATTTTGGACATTTTGGATTATCTAATTATGTTTTTCCCCTACATGTTTCTCCCTATTCTGATGTTTATTC